CCTCTTCCCCATCCCTCCATCGCCGCCTCCCCTCCGACAGGGAGCTTCGTGCTTCAGCGTTAGACACACTGAACTGGAATACCACTCAACCTTACTTTTAAGGCACTTGCTGCCAGCGTGAGTACAAGTGAGTGGTCCTTGGCAAAGGAGAAATCAGGTCGATGATCAGAGATCCAGGGTGGTCTTCCTGCTCTTTCACTGCTCCATAGGTTCCCTAACGAAACTGCCCCCCCCCCGAATTGCCCGAACGTTTCCTTTGCCTTGGAAAGAAGCTTTCAGTGCCAGCATTAAACCCCGCCATCCCTTGCTTCATGCATTCAGCCAGGTCTACACTTGCAAAAAGGGATTATTAACTGCCCAAAGAGCTTTTGGTTATTGGGTGGTATAAAAATTAATTAAGTTAACAAATTATCGTTTTCAACCTGGGAACAAAGCCATTTTGTCCCTCATTTTTCTATACCTAAATTAACCTTCCCTTCCATTTCAAGGATAAGCCAAGATGAATTTTGTCCTTTGTAAATCAAAGGGAGTCGAACTTCAGCCATAAGAAGGAGGCACGTCAGCTTCAGTACTTCAGTAAGTGGAGCGAGAAAGTGACTGCCCCATGCTAAGGATGGAACTTTTCAAGCTTTGATTTACCTTCAGCTATCATCAGCATGTTTCTGGTTCACTTGAAAATAAAGCCAATTCTTGTTATTAGAATTCAGCTCCATTAAGGCTAATCAAGAAAACTCTATTCAGAAATCTTTTCAGCCAGTCACTGGGAAGGTGAAATGGCCCATTGCCTACAATGGCAGAAGTGAATGGATCATTATTCATATAGGCAGTTGAACAGCTTCAACATTCTTTCATCTGTTTTTGTTAATTTCTGAATCTGCTTTGGAGACGAACTTTCCAAAGTACCTTACAATGTTAAAAAACTTGATACAGTGGTCAAGCTTCCAAGAGGTACTTGCTCTTTTTTCTGAGTTCTTCAGCTCCTTACCTCTCCAAAGAAATGCCATGATATATATAACATGCACACACCTTCCTTAAAGTAATTTAGAAGCCAGTGCCCATCTCTTTGAACCTAATAGTTAGACATTAAACCTAATATAAGATTATATTCTTGCTGAAAGTAAGCACTGTGTTCAGGATGTCCTAATTTCATCTCTATTAGGAAACAAATTAGCTAAAATTATCAATGTAGAAAACAAAATAGAAAAGCAACTCATTTTTTTAAATCAGTGAAAGATTAAGAATCAACTTCCCTTCTTTAACTTAATGCAAACCTGTGATATATAAGAAAAAACAGATTTGCATCACATTGTATTTGAATTGGCTTTAAAATGAAAGATTGGACATGTCTGAATATTTCCAGTTTATCCATTTAAATGGATTTAGGGCCAGCTAAATAATCTTATAATCACAATATTAAACTGAATTGATTGGACCCACAGACAAAATCCAATGGGAAATGCAATACAGACCTACACTTCTGCTCAGTAGTCAAGGTGTGGAAAACATATTTACCAGTTTGCAATATGGGTATAATTGTTCCATTGAGAACTGAAGGCTGACATGAGATTCAAGCTAACTCAAAATAGAACATATATTAGTAGAGGAGACCAGAAGAGACCAGAAAGTGGGATGCCTCTGGCTACTGTAAACCCAAATACATCTGTTTTACATGTGAAGATTAAAAGAGCTATTAAAATCAATCACACATTTCCACAAGTGAGTATTTTGGATGGGATGCCCAGATTTGTGAAGCAAATTAATGGTGCTTGCTTCTATGTAACTATATTTGGAACTCAGACATTATATCTTTACTCTTATCCCAGACATATTTATTCATAAGCAAGGCCTATTCCAAGAGTAAAGTCATAACCTTAGAGCAGAACTTCTAAAACAGATGAGGAGCATGTTTAAGCCCCTAGCTACCTTGCATCAGACATGGGTTTTGTAAACTGTTTTCTAGCCAGAACAATTTTACTCAGAAATATGCTCCACTGAACACAATGAACTTACTTTCTCATAGGACTGAAGTTTGGGGACTCCTTAGGGATTGATGCAAGTTTAAATAAATTCTAGAACATCAAAGCTTAGTCTACACACACCACCACCTCCACCACCTATACATTCATGAAAAAGCAGATTCATTTTATCATTCATTCATTCGAGACACACACACACGGATGCAGGCATGCACACCCTCTTTCTTCCATTTTCAAGATATAATGCATATTTGAACTTAGGATAAAGTCATAGAATGGTAGAGTTGGAAGGGGCCAAGTAGACCATGGGTAAAACCCCCTGCTCAATGCAGGACTCCAAGTTAAACCATCCCTCTCAGCTGGCTATCCACCTGCATCTTAAATGCCTCTAGTAACCTGCAACCTCCCTAGGTAATTGGCCTTCCATTGCTACACTATTCTAACAGTAGTATGTAGTTTTTCCTGATATTCAGCTTGAATCTGGCCTTCTGTAACTTGAATCCATTATTCCATGTCTTGCAATCCAGGATGATCAAGAAGAGATCCTGACCTTCCTCTGTGAGAAAACCTTTGAAGTATGCTATCATATATGCCTCAGTCTTCCTTTCCAAATGGTAAACATGCACAATTCTCTCAATCTCTCCTCATAGGGGTTTGTTCCAGTCCCTGGATCCTCCTCATTGCTCTCCTCTGAATGCTGGATAAACAACAGCTCCTGGGAGAAGTATCTGGCTGGCACCAAATGCCAAACATATTAACACAAAAGTCATTACTTTTGAAATAAACGGGATCTTCTTGAAGATGCTTATGTTAAGATCAGAGAGTAAAAGAAAGACAACATGGAAGAGTGAGGATTTTGCCTCAAAGTATCAAGCTGACTGCCCCAATCCATACAAACCAATGTATTTTGAAATAAGACTTCAGAGGCTTTTGTTGCAACCTAAACCTCAAAGTTTGCTTTGTCCAACTTGCAGATCAGTTATTCCTCAGTTCAAGAGAACCCACCCTGAATTCAGCTATTGCATATGGAAGATTTCTAATGCAAACAGTTGTGATAAACACTGATTTCTTTAAGAAAGGAAAAGGAAATCTAAGCATCATGTTTAGAACAAGACAGCCAACAAGTCATTTTAATTAAAACAATGGTGTACAGTAAGGCGGCAACAACATTAATTCACAAACCAGCTGAGACTCAGAATCCAAGCAAAAGCAAAGCTCAGAAGCTGACCTCCAGGAAACTCTGACCCTTCTTCTCACAGAAGGGTTTTTTTTCCCTGTGTAAAGTGCTTATCATGTAAGAGGTTGTTGTTGGGTCTTGAAAAGAAAAAAACTTTATAGATGTTTCTCTTTTATCAGATTTAGTTTTCAAACTCAACTGGATAAGCGTAAGTCAAACCTACATGTATAAAAGAACTGTATATACCAGCAGGTACAATAAAGAAGTTGTGATAAGCATTATCCACAAGAAGAAAGATTTTTTTATATAAAATGTTTTCAGAACAGGAAATGATAGGGTAGGTCATGCAAGCGTTTTTTACAACAAGATTACATCAAAATTCATTAACTTCACTAAAGGGCTTTGTGTGAAATATTTCACTTCAATAATTTGTCTCTACTTTGTATAACAAAATTTTCACATTGAAATAAGCTATAAAAACAATTATTGGAGTCTGAACCATTTTTCTCTTTAATCTCTGGTCATTTTATCTCTCTTCTTTATGCTTACTCTTATTGCTTACTATTGTCAATGCTAATAGCTTTGGCCACCCTTTCGGGAAAGAAAAAAGTTGAGGAGAGGCTGAAATTTGATAAACATCTGAGACAGATATCAAAACAGCTGTATAAAGCACATTTGTAATCCTCTTGATCCACAATGCGCACCAATTTGAAAATTCTGTGCTTATTGGAAAATTCTAGCCATATTGTTCCACATCTTGGGTTTAAAAAATTTTAGTACACAAAATTGTAACAAGGGAAGAGCAGCCAATTTTTGAATGAATTGCCTACTTCTTAATCTTCTGTAGGCATAGTTTCTTCTGCTCTGGCTCATCCTTAGTTCTGTACTGGCTAAATTTTCTAAGTGCCTATTCTTGACTCACCACTTTTTCATGTTTGCTCTATTCTGAGTAGTCTGAGATAGACAAGCTGATGGAAACTTCTGTGTAACTCAAAAGCTTGCCTATTCTTAATCCAACAAAAGGATTCTTGATAAAAGATATTACGGTTTCACTCAAAGAGTACAGGACAATCTCCAGTGGTATGTTCCAATAGTTTTTAATGTTTGTTTTACAGCCCTGGATTACATTCATAAACTACCTTGCTAAAAGACTTTCTTGGGTGTGAATTTATTTGAAAAATATCAACAGGACTTTCATCAAGAATATCCCATTCTAACACATGTTTACATGAAAATAAGTCTCCCTGAGTCTTCACTAGGACTGAAAGATGTGTGCATGCAGAGATGTAATTTGGCACTTTTGTTCTCTTATTATGAAACATTGTATTGATCAACTAAAATTTACTTCCAAGTAAATAGCTTGGGGTGAAGTCTTCATATCTTCATTCTGCACAAAATCTTGCTGCCCCAGATACTACAGTGAAACTTACTCCCAAGAAAGTGTGTGGAAGGTTGCATTTTTAGGATTGGTTCCTGAAACATGGGGGTCTTTCTGATAGCAATTCAAGTAAAGTCAGTTTAAGCTATCTCCCAAGATGGCTGGAGAAATCAACATCATTACTTTTGTGTTTATTCTGATAAACATATAACACAGAAACGCTTACCTGAACCTGGCTCTCAACACTCTGATTGTACAACAGTTAAAATACAGATTTCAGAAGAATGAAGATTATAATCAGTAGCAAGAATATTGAAATAATAGTAGTAATAATAACAGCAGCAGCAACAACAGCAACGACAACAAAACAAATTCTTCCCAAAGACTCCCCACTGGCTCGGGCCGTGCTTTGCCCTTCTGCACGTGTTTCCTACAGGATGCCGCGACGGTCTTTTCTCTGCGTCCCCTTTTAGGAATGCACCAGGGCGGAATGCAAGGAGCCTTTGCCCTCGGCAGAGTTCGGCGGCGTCTGTTCGAGGAGGGAAGACGACGAGCTCGGTGAAGCGGCCGCCGGGCAGAGCGGCGGCTGCGGCCCCGGCGCCGCCACCTGGCCGACGCTCAGGGCGGGGATGGCCGTGGCCGGCGGCAGGGACGCGGTGGGCTTGATCGGCACGGGCATGGCCGGCAGCGTCTGTGCGGGCGGCGGGGGGCAGAGCGCCTTCACCGGCACGCCGAAGGGTCCGTACTCGCCCGCGATGGGCAGGCCGCCGACCGGCTCCATCACGCCCACGTGGGGCCACACGGAGCTGACCATGGTGCTGATCTGCTGGCTGGCCACGGGGTAGCCCAGGTGGTGCATCACGGAGGCCAGGGGCAGCCCGCCGCCCTGCAGGACGCCCTTGTAGTCCCGCCCGATGAGGTTCTCGATGGCGAAGGGGTGCTTGAAGCCGGGCGCCGGGCTGTAGGGCGGGAACTGCGGCAGCCGTCCCACGGCGGCGGCGGCGGCGGCGGCTGCTGCGGCCGCCGCGGCCGCCACCGTGGAGTCCGGGTGCGCCTTGCCGGCCGCGGGAGGCTGGAGCGGCGGCGGCGGCGGCGGGGGCGGCGGCGGCGGCGCCTGATGGTGGGGGTGGAAGTAGTGGCTCAGGTGCGGGGGCAGCACGCCGCCGGCCTTGCCCGCCGCCGGCATGTGGGGCTCCGGCCGCGGCACCTTGAAGCGCTTCCGGCGCCGGAGGAAGCTGCCGTTCTCGAACATGTCCCCGCAGTCCGGGTGGAGCGCCCAGAAGCTGCCTTTGCCCGGCTGGTCGGGCCGCCGCGGGATCTTGATGAAGCAGTCGTTGAAGGAGAGGTTGTGGCGCAGCGAGTTCTGCCAGCGCTGCGTGTGCTCGCGGTAGTAAGGGAAGCGCTCCATGATGAACTTGTAGATGTCGCTCAGGGGCAGCATCTTCTCCGCCGAGTGCTGGATGGCCATGGCCGTCAGCGAGATGTACGAGTACGGCGGCTTCTGGTCGCTGTAGGAGCTCTTGCCCGGGCGAGGCATGGCACATGCCCGCCCTGGCGGTGCCGCTCGCAGGACCCACGCGCTCAGCTCACCGCCTGGACGGCCCTCCCGGGCGGCCGCCCATCGCGCTCAGCGAGCAGCGAGGCTGTCCGGGCTTTCGCTGCGCCTCGAAAGAAAGCTCGCGTGCATGTCAACAGCCCTGGGTGGCCTTTCGACCAGAGCCTCCCCGGACAGTGAACACCCCCGCGCCCAGATGCCTCCTCTGTCCTGTCCGGCTGAACCGGGGTGCCCACAGGCAACAGAGGCTGCGATTACTCTGGGTTGCAGCACTCAGAGGCCACTTTCCTTCCCTCTAGGACTGGCGCTGCCTTGAATGTGACACGTGTCTGCCCGAAAGCGAGGTCTGTTGGCGCCTAGGGCACATCCTGCCAAGTCAGTCTGCCGGAGACCGCAGCTGGGCGTAGAGCAGAAAGTCCCCGGCATCTCCAGGGAGGGCTGGGAAGGCTCCTGCCCCGGAGCGCGGCTGCCAGTCAGTGTCCACAGTGCTGGGATAAATGGACCAGTGGTCTGCGCTTGTATAAGGCAGCTTCCCGGCTTCCTAAGCAGTTCACTCTGCTGTCGGTGGGACTGCAACGTGCAACTTTCTTCTCCGTCTAGTCCTGCCCGTCCGCTGACTGCCGCAGCGTGGGAGGTTTAACCCATAGTGTCGCGATCACCGCCGCTCCTCAGCCTTCTGCCCTGCTCCGAGTCTAAATGGGGAGGAAGAACACCGGCGCGGCCACCTGCTCTCGGCCCCTTCCCCTCCTGGCCGCGCTTCGGCTCTGCTCCAGGGAGCACTACCAGAGCCCCGGGAAGGAGAGGACTCTCGCCTCGTAGTGTGTGGCTCGTCCGCCCGGGCAGGCGGAGGGCTCAGCAAAAGCCAGCTCCCCACCCCCCCCACCCCGCCCCGGAGAGAGCGCGGCCCTGGGCCCGGGCAAGCGGAAGGAGCTCCGCGGGCGCGGAGGAGGCGCGCGAAGCGAGCGCTCCGTGGGCAGACGGCGCGCCGACCCGGCTCGCTTGCAGGAGAGCAGCGAGGGGCAGGGCGCTTCCCGGGCAGGGCGCTGCACGGGGCCCGGAGAGGCGGAGCGCCTGCCCGGTGCGGAGAGGGGCGCTGTTTGCGGACCGGAGAGGCGGCGGCCGCGGCGGTCGCTGGGCTTCTGGCTCCTCGGCGCTTCCCCGCTCGCTTTTGTGGCGGTCCCTGGCCAGAGCGCTGGAGCCCCCCGCCTCTCTCCGGCTTCCTTAGCGTCACATGACGGAGGCTTCGGGGGACGCGAGAAGCCGTCGATCGCCTGCTTTCCCCCCCCGCTCCGCTCTTCAAGCGGACAAGGTGGGGCCAGGGACCTGCGAGGCGAGACGAGACGAAGCTGGCGAGAGCCTTTCAAGCACTTTCCCTGCCTGCCTCCCTCCCTCCCTCTCCCGCTCGCGCGCTCTCTCTCTTTCTGGCGAGCACGAATGAGCCTTGTCCCGCTCCCGCTCCTCAGCGCCCACCTCTCCCGCCTCCCGCTTAGCTCCTCGCCGCTCGCCTTCCCTTCTGTCCTGGGAATCGGCTCTCGCCCTTCCCTGCCTCCTCCAGAACGCCTCCTCTCTGGCATGCAGCGGGATGGCTCCTGTCTGGGACATTGCTAGGAAAGGGCCCGACGTCAAGGGAAGCGATGTATAACGTCTGTTAGGACCCCTGTTAGGTCCCCCGTCCCGACTTTTGAAATCCTGCGCTGAATAGGCTGGGGAAAATGCCTGCCCAGAAATGAATGGCTAAGGCTGGCAGCCTCAGTTGGAGAAGGCAAGAAAGACTGTGTTGGCTGCTAGACTTTCTTCCCGAGACGTTACAACAGGTGCTCCAGTCAGTAACAAAGCCCAGTCCTGGGCAGCCATTCTGCTGAATAAATGTGCTCAAGGGGTCCCAGATAAGTACGCCAGGGACAGCAGTACTGGTGATGCAATCCCATGCGCACTTCCTGAATAACACCACCTCGACTTCACTGAGCATTGCAATAAGATCATGATTATCATGAGCTAACATCCCACCACGTTCTCCATATTCAAAAGCTTCACCAGGCTTTGTGTCCAGATAACTGGGGCTATGATGGAATAACCAAGGACAGAATAAAAATGCAGAAAAATAAGCGAATACCTATTATTCCCCACTAATCTTAATAGGCTGTGGCTCAGGCTAAGTTGCCGATGGAGTTATGCGCTGGACAGAATGCATGCACAGTATTCCTGACATCATTTTTAGGGGTGGTGTACGGGTTTGATATGACTTGAAGTTACGTCCCAACTTCCTTTGAAGGAAATCGTAGTCATTTCCACACACCTTCCCTTTGCTCGAAGTCGTGCCATTTCCCTGCCCCTTCCCCACTATGAATGAGGAACTGGAAGAAAGTTTCATTGGAGCGAATGCAATTTTACTTCCTTCCAAGTCAAGCTACGTAGGAGTGAGGTAGCTATAAAGCGCCTGCACAGGAACTCCAATCCTGTATGGCGTACAGAGTCACTTAACAGACCATGGAGTTAGGACAAACGAGGAATCGGGATTAATAAATCAGCTCTGGGGCCAGGCTATGTCCCGCCAGCCTTTGCATAAAAGAGAACTTCTCGCCCGTTATGGCATTTTCGGTTCGAAGAGAATAACCCTCTGCGGGTTCAGGAGCCAAAGGGGTCTGCGACGGCCACGCTTAGGCTGGATCGCCAAGAAGATGGGAAGAAAAGGTTCCATGAGCGGGCCATCAACCTTCTCTGGAACACGCATTCACACGTTCCTCACGCGCGCACTTCAGAGTGCTGGGCTGTTGACAGCAAAGGCGTTCAGCCTGGGCGATCTTACTCCTGAACAAACGCAGCAAAGGGCAAGCGCCTCGGAGTGCGGGAGCGCAACTCCTCCCCACACCCTTTGGACCGAGGCCGCAGGCAAGGGCGTTCGCACCAGCGCCACCGGGTCCGTGTCCGGGCACGGGGCGAGCCTGCCCCCCCCCCCGTCCTGCGCTTTCCCGCGCGGACACCCACGGCAGCGACTCCTTGCGCCAGACCAGGGGAAGAGGGAAGAGCCGGCCGTGGGTGCGCCCCGCCCCGCCCCGCCCCGCCCGGGCCGGCCGAGGTGGTCCCGGCGGGAGTGCGCGGGGCTGCGGGACCTCCCGGGCCAGCCGTGCCGGCCGGGCCTGCCCGCGCGCCCGTCCGACCCGCCGCCGGCGCCCTCGAGGCAGCCACGCGGAGGCAGAGCAGCTCCTGCTAATTCTTTGGCAGCAGGCAGCGGCCGGTGCGGGATTCAGCGGCGGGCGGGGGCGGGGGCGGGGGCGGGGGAGGCTGAGCAGATCGCACGTTATCCAAATATTGGCTGGCGGTGAGGGGGCTGGCAGCCAGGCTGTGCCCCTGGGTGGCTGCAATTAGCGCTCCCCTCCCTCGCTCCTCACCTCCGCTCAGGCTGCGTGGATGCGCGCCTCCCCCCCCCCCCCCCCCCCCCCCCCCCCCCACAGGCCCCGCGGCCCCCCCCCCCCCCCCCCCCCGCCTCTCTGGCTAGAAGAAATCGCTCGTCTCTCTTCTGATTGCCCCCCTGGGACCACCACCCCGTCGCCGACCTTGGCAGCTCCTGCAAGGCGTCTGCGGGAGGGGCTGTGACAGAGCAAAGCCCCCGCCCCGCCCCGCCGGTCCCCGGGCGCCGCCGCCGCCGCTCGCTGGCAGGCTCGAGCCCTCGGGAGGCGCTGCCGGCCTGGCTGCGCCCGAGCCGGCGAGCGGGCGAGCGGCGGCTCCGCAGGCGCCCACTGGCGGGCGCGCCCGGGCGAGCAGGTCCGCACGGCCCCTGCAGCCCGCCCCCGGCGAAGGCCCTGCCCGGGCGGCTCCGGGGTCGCAGTCCGCCTGGCCCCAGTGGGAGAAGCCCGCCTGAAAGGCTTGGGGAAAGGCAGGCCCGGGAAAGGGGGCAGCGCCCGGGCGCCTTGGGTCCGCAGAGACCCTTCCGGGCCTTGGCCTGCTCGCGTGGCCGAGCGCCTCGCCCAGAAGCAGTTTCGGGGCAGGGGACTGGTCCCCACGCCCGCGCCCGCGCTTCACACCAACCGCCTCTGCTTTAGCAGTTCCGCCGCCGCGCCGCGCCGCTTTTCACCCCCTCCCAGCCGTACCATGCACGCCCAGGGTACGTGCCTTTGGATTGTGGGTGGCTGGTCAATATCACGGCTGCTGCGATAGAATTAACATTTGTAAGTGACGCTCTTTTGTTGCACCGCGTGGACGTCACTGAAAGTGCACATCCCTCGCAGAGATCCTGGCGTCAGTTACAAAGATCTGGGACGTCTTCAATCTCATCCTTGTTTTTTGATCTAGACTGCTACGACCGAGAAATAACTGGTTAAAGAAGGTTTAAAAGAACGAAATCAAACTCTATCTCCAGTGTTTTGTTTAAAAGACTGTTGCGAAAGAAAACGAAGCAGCGTTGCTGAAGTCTGCGGGTTTCGAAATCGGTAGCACAGAACTTAGAAAATATGGAGCGGTCATAAAATCCGAAGCCCGCTCAAGTTGTTTCCTCACTATCGTTGCTTTCGTTTCAAGAGGTCCGATCATGGCGCATCTCCTGGAACCAGGGGCCACGACTTTCATCCAGCTTCCTCTCGAGTAAGTTTGCAAGGTATTTCCACCCTCATTATACCTGATCCAGTCCACTGACTCTGGCCGGAGAGAGCGCAAAAGCTTGAAGATGGGATGAAAAAAAATCGTCTGACTTCCGTCCCCAGCTTCAGGCGGCTGACTTGGGAGTGCCACCGAAACTGAAGCTACTTTCAAGAAGACGCATTTAAGTGGGCTGCCACGCTGTCCGCATCAGCTATGCGCCGCGAGCCGCATATCCACTAGCTAATCGTGGGGCAGCCGAACAGGGTTGCTTTAAAAAACGCACGCATTCAGCAAAACAAAGCAAAACAATAACTGGCCCCCCGCCCTCATGCGCGCTGCATATTCCTCCGTTGCTTCTAAGACAATTCATCCGAAGAGAGACGGGGCCGAGTCCAGAGCCTTGCCTT